AGGGCCGGGACTTCTGGGGTTACGTCGGGCCTGTCCTCCTACAGGGGGAGTTTCGACGAACAATAAGAGGTACCCCCAAAATAATCCAAAAATAGTGCAACAATAGTCTGGGGACTATGTTTGAGTATTTTTTTTAACATTTTTTGGGGGGTATTTTTGAGGTACTTTTAATTTCTTGACGAACATCCCCCTGTAGGGGGACACGCCCGACATCATTCTGGGGACGCCGCCCTGGAAAAGTCAGGACGTCGCACGCCTGGGCCTCCCTCGGACTCCCCTTCGGACCATATAGCCTCCTCCTTCGGACTCCCCCTTCGGACCATATGGCCTCCTCCTGCCCGGCCTCCCCTTCGGACTAGGAGCCTCCCCTTCGGACTGGTGGCCTCCCCTCCGGAGGTGCGCCACCGGCCTCCCCCTCCGACTAGCAGCCTCCTCCTGCCCGGCTCCCGCGGGGCGCCCCGGCCCGCCGGCAGGGAGCCGCCGCGCGGGGCGGCGTGGGCAGCACGCGCAACCTGGAGCCCCGGGGGTCTGTCTGGACGCCCGAGATGGGCACGGAAAGAATGGGTACGATGCCCCACAGCAGTTCCTGTTCATTTTGAACAGGATTCGCTGCCCGCGCCGCCGCGGCCTGCGTCCATTCGAGACAGAAGGCCGCCTGCCCAGCAGCGGCCGCTGTTGGTTTTGGACAACACTTGTTGTTGGGCATTGTACCCATTTTTTCCGTACCCATTTCGGGCGTCCAAAGTCTGGGAGTCGGGCCTGTCCTCGGCAGGAGGAAGCTTCAAGCAGAGGCAACGCATCATCTGGGGACGATTTGTCTACTATTAAGTCGGGCATGTCCCCCTCCAGGGGGATTTTCGACGAAAAATTAAAAACATCCCCAAAATAACAAACAAAAAGTTCAAGAATAGTCAGGGGACTATTTTTTGAGCATTTTGACATTATTTTTGTTATATTGAAGCTTTTCGTGGAAAATCTCCCTGTGTGGGGACAGGCCCGACCTCAGTCTGGGAGTCGGGCCTGTCCCTCGGCAGGAGGAAGATCCGAGCAGAGGCATAGCATCATCTGGTGACGACCTGCCTACTATTCTGTTGGACTCTTTCCGGACATCTTCTGTCAGAGCGTGAATTACCTACCCCGCTTTCGCTTCCGGGCAAAACCAAGTCATACCACGCGCCTCCTCGTCAAGCGGCGTGACCAGTACAGGCCGTAGTTTGGCATCGCTTGCGTATCTCTTGGAAGCGAGGGTGGTCAAAAGCGAGGTAGGTTTGTCTGCCCCCTGTGGTGGGGGTGCCTTTCCTTCCTCGCCCCCCAGATGTCCGCCCGCGTCCGCCGCCGGAGGCCTGGGCGCGGGGGGGGGCGTCGGAGAGCCGACAGCTCCCAGATGGTTGGGTCGGGTATTTTAAGGGGCGAGGCACGCTATCAAATAAACTTTTTCGCTGTCGGGGGCGCCTGTCCCAGGGCGGCGGGAAAGTTTATACCCCTACGGTGGCACCGTAGGGGTATTAAACTTTCCAGCCGCCCAGGGACAGGCGCCCCCGACAGCGAAAGAGTTTATCTTAGAGCGTTCTTCGCCCGTGTGTCCCTCTGCAGAAGGCATGTGCAAGAACAGTGACCCCAAAAAGTCTGGGGACGATTTCTCGTGATCTTAGGTCTCTGTTTCATCAGTTCTGGACATCGGCCACGCGCAGAGGGGGGTGGGGGGGGATGGGGGAGGGCTTCTTAGGAGCACCCCTGCTTCTTAGAAGGTGCGGGCCTTACCTATAGATGTAAGGCTGGCGCCTGCTAAGAAGCAGCCTCCTTCTAAGAAGCCCTCCCACCTCCCTCCACCCCCATGTGCGCACCGCCAAGGACAATTCTAGCATCCTTTCTTCCAGAGCCCGCCTGCAGGAGGACCTCCCCGACCCAATCCTAGATCCGGTGGCTGCGGAACGCGCAGCAAAGGCCAACGGTTCGCGTCGTGCCGGCGCGGCGGCGACCCTGGCGCGGGTGCTCAAGGCTCATCGCCGCCAGGGGCCCGGAATCGGCCCGTACCGAGCGATGTCTACCAGCCTCGAACGTATCCCTATCCCTAAGATTGACATGCCAAAAGGCGATGACAGTCTTAGGGATTCGCCCTCAAAAAATAAGGGAATCCCTAAGATTGGCATCGTGATGAGGAAGTGCCCAGCATAGGGATAGGGATATGTTCCAGGCTGGTAAGATGTGCGTTGTCGGAACGCCTCGATCGTTCAAAGATGCGCGATCCCCAGGCCTCCAACATTCTGTTTTTTCAAGGCTGCCCCCCGGAGCTCTGAGCAGCTTCCCCGTGACCTGGTTTTTCGAGCTGGATCGTTGGTTTCGGTGGTCCTGGGGCCTGACAAGAAGGCTCCCCATGCACCGAGAACGACGCAATAGTTCCGTCGTAATTTGCCATGCGTTGGATGCCTGGGTCCACGCGGTGTCAGAAACCAACGCCGACGTCATCGCGCGATGAGGGCCGGTCGTGAGTGCAGCAGATCCGACGCGAGATTGGAGATTGTTTTTTGTGGTGCAGCAAGAACCCAGGTCATCGGGCACGCCTGCCCCCCCCCTCCCAGATCACCAGACCTTGTCGGTTGCGCAGGCCAGGGTTGCGCAGGCCGGAAGAGGCACGCAGTGCTGGTGCGCGCGGGCATACGTGGGGCTGCCCAAAGTAGACAAGCGCGTTCCATTGCTCGCAGAATAGCTACTCGCAAATGCCATGGATCCGCCGCGGGGAATCGACGATTCCTTACTTCGAGGCAAGCATGTACGTTTCCAGACGTTTGCGAGTAATTCGGCGGTTTTGCGAGTAGTGGAATGCGCTCGGTGACAAAGCAAAGAGGTCAGGCTATTGGCTGTCTCAGGCCATCCCCCCCTCCAAACAGGAAGAGGAGGAGGAGGAGGAGGAGGAGGAGGAGGAGGAGGAGGAGGAGGAGGAGGAGGAGGATGAGGAGGAGGAGGAGGGGAGTGGGCAGGGGGAGGAGGAGGAAAGGAGAGGGGGAGGAGGGGGAGGAGGGGAAGGAGGGGGAGGAGGGGGTGGAGGAGGAGGAGGACCAGTGCAAACCCAAGAGTCATCAACGATGTTGGAATTATCCCTCTCTCCAAGCTCTCTCTTCATAGGCCCCTGCAACGGATCATTTCCATTGAGGGAACTGCTTCGTTGGAAGACAACCGTTTCAAGACCCTGAAACATGCTAAAACATGGTTCTCGGGATTTTAACGCCACGGATCAACCTGACTGCTGCGTCTTGACGATCCGGAATCGTGACCGGACGCCATCTTTAGGACATCAGCACCGCGAATCAACATAAGTGTTGCACCCGCATAATCCTGAGTCTTTCCAGAACAAAGTTTCTGGTACCCTGATCATGGGAATCCGCGAAACTCGTGCACATGTTCAAAACGAATGTGCGCGGCGCCAAGGCGAGAGCTACATTTTGAACAGGACCCGCCCTCAATCCGGGATGCTCTTGTAATCTTTTTAAACGAATGTGCGCAGCACTCAGGCGAGAGCCACATTTTGAAATCGACCCGCCCTCTATCCGTCAAGCTCTTGCACATTTTCAAACCAATGTGCGCGGCGCTAAAGCCAGAGCCACAGTTTGGAATCGACCCGCCCTCAATCCGTGAAAATCTTGCACCTTATCAAAGGAGTGTGCGCGGCGCTAAAGCCAGAGCCTTATTTTGGAAACGACCCGCCCTCAAGCCGTGAATCTCTTCATTTTCTTGTTCAAACGATTGTGCGCGGCGCTATGGTGAGAGCCACATTTTGAACACGACCCGCCCTCAATCCGTGAAGTTCTTGCAATTTTGGTCAAGCAAATGTGCGCGGCGCTAAGGCGAGAGCCACATGTTGAAAACGACCCGCCCTCAATCCGTGAAGCTCTTGCAAATTTTGTAGAAGAATGTGCGCGGCGCTAAGGCGAGAGCCACATTTTGAAAACCACCCGCACTCCATCTGTGAAACTGCTGCATTTTCGAAGATTCAGAGTCAGAAATGGTGAGGAAGTCTCAGGCGAAAGGCCTGGCCCGCTCAAGAAACTGGCCTCGGGGTGCGACAGGGAATAATTATCTATGAGGAAAAGGAATGGAGGAGGAGGAGGAGGAGGAG